TAATTCTAAACAAATTTTGTTAATAAAAGTTTTTGATTTGATCAATAATTAAGAACATAACCTCAAAAAAGTTTTTATATACAGGGTGTATCTGAATGACTGCAACAAACTTCAAGGGGTGATTCTTTAGTGAATTTTAAGGGTACTTTCATATATGAACCATGGGCGACTTCGACTCCCCTAAGGAGCTACATCCCTCCAAAAATGGCGGAAAATTTTGGTTTAATTTCTTTTTCTCAAAAACCATAAACGCTAGGAAAATGAAATTTGGGGAATATGTTTAACTCATAATAGGGCACGTTTTGACCCTATTTGTACTTTCAACCTACCCTTCTAAACTACTACTAAATGTAACTACCCCCGTTCAATTTATGCCTAGGTTTTTTTTATGGAGATGATAAATGCATTGGACAAATTTCAGTTAGATAGATAAAACTATTCTAAAACTTTTTTGTAACTCTGATGTTCTTCTAAAATTTTATAATTTCTGAGAAAAAAAATAGTTATTTACTCACTAACTATTAAGCTGTAGGGTTGTTAATCGAGGTGGAATGAATTTTTAAAGAAAAAATCTTAGTAGGCTTTGCAATCTTTGTCATAAATATTTTTGACGTTTAATGTCAGGTTTTCTTATTATTATTATTGTTTTATTTAAAATTTTGAAACGTCGAGTGAACAAGCGTAAATGCGATAGAACTTTATTTAAAAATTAATTTGAAAAACATCACTAGTTATAAGTAAACTATGTATGACTATTACCAACCTAGCGGGTTTACAATTCCTAAAATTTCAAATTTGAGGCATTTAACAACAAAAAGGATTTTAACTCAAAAAATAAAAACGGTGGATGAGAATGATATTAATAAAAATTGTTTATTATTAATCGCTAAAACATAATCTAGGAACGATTTCTTTCCAACTATTTCGCATTTTAAGTTATAAAGCATAAAATGAGAAACTCTGCTAGACTGGCACTTGATATTAATTAAGAAGTGATTTTAACCTCAATGCCGAAAATGCCTGTTTTAATAAGATATTGAGACCAAATGAAGGGTCCAGGGGAAAAACGTGATAAGTCACAAATGCGTAATTTCATAAGAGAACTATTTTAAAGTTACCAGACTTTTTCTAGGCCGATGGGAAGTAATTCTTCGATTTTGCTATGGTAATTAATATTCGAATTTATTTTTTATTGATTCTGTGAACACGATAATTCTTAAATGCTTGCGTTCTACGCGTAAATAAAGTCAGACTAGGGTAACAAATAGAATTGCAATGCAAGAAAACGGCAAGTCCCACACTTATCATCTTTTTGCTCTTTACCAAAGAAGAGTTAATGGAAAAAAATTTAATATTGTTTGTTGTTTTTCAAAGAGATAATGGTTTTTTGATATTTAGAATTGGAACTGTTATATGTGGAAAAATTCGATTATATTTGGATTTAAATTTATGTAAATTGTGTAGGAGATCGGCTTTAAGTTTAGGGAATATGGGATTAAAAAGTAATTGGCTTTCAATATCGATGGCTAAAAAAGTAGAATTGAAATTGTGAGTGTTAATGGAAAATTTGTGTCCTAAACTAAATAGTTCTATTTCTGAAGATGATAGTGAATAGTCAGAGAGGTTAGTGTATTTAGGCGCGAATGTAAAATGTGATTGTTTATTATCGTAGGTGATATTATAATTGTTATTATTAATTTCTAGTCGTTTGATATTAAAGTTATCGTTAGAATCCTTTGAGTTAGACTTACTGTATAGAGCGTTGTTCTTTAATAAGCTTAATTTTTTATTTTTATTTTTAATGTCAGCTAGGGATTTATGGGTGATTATACAGAAACTATCATTTTTCACATGGTAATTTGAAAATAGTTTTTTTGTTCCAAATTTTGTTTTTTAATACACAAACACGAACTTTAGTTCAAAATGAACCTTGCAAAGTTCAAAATCAAACCGTTCAATTATTGTCTAGCCAGAATTGACTTGTTTTTGTAAAAACGATATGCAGAGGAATGACGAGATAAGCAGAGGAATGATTTTTTTATTTGATACGGCAAAATAATNTTAAAAGAAGACGGATGCTTTGAGAAAACTGAGAGCGCAACGAAAAAATGATCCTGAGGCTTATGAAATTGCTAAATTGAAGGAAAGAGAGCGGTATCATCGCAGAGTTAATTACGATAAAATAAAAAAGATATCAATGTTAACAGATCCAGATAAAAGACGTAAAAGGGAAGAATAGAGGGAACATAGTAAAAAACTTACCAAGCAAAAAAGGCAGCTAAAAAAACACCAAGTAGTTACAGAATTCCGAGATATAGAATATATTCCGAGATACATGGGTGATTATACAGAAACTATCATTTTTCACATGGTAATTTGAAAATAGTTTTTTTGTTCCAAATTTTGTTTTTTAATACACAAACACGAACTTTAGTTCAAAATGAACCTTGCAAAGTTCAAGATCAAACAGTTCAATTATTGTCTAGCCAGAATTGACTTGTTTTTGTAAAAACGATATGCAGAGGAATGACGAGATAAGCAGAGGAATGATTTTTTTATTTGATACGGCAAAATAATACAATATTAGGCATAATATGCATGTTAAAACCAAAACAGTGAATAAACTTAAGAGCTTAAAACAAAAGAATATTCAATGCAATAACGAAAAAACGTTAACGTTTTACACTTGAACAAGCAGCTTCTTGATCTTCGTCAGAATAAACATCTTCAAACTGTAGCTTATTTTGAACTTTTATGGAACCGCTGATATATCTGCTTAAAGGAGTGTCCTCATCATCACTAGACGTGTCACTAAAGATAGTTCATCATTAAGCCCAATTTTGTTGAATTTAAGGGAACCAATAAAGTATTTTTTATTGCCGTTTATGAAAGTGCTAAGTTCATAAAAGTTTAATCTGATGCTACTTTCATAATCTTCTTTTTTTATTTGGTGTACTTTCATTGTTCCTCTAAAAGTTTGTAGCAAAACATTCTTAAGTTTTTGGGACATTTCATTAATTTTGTCTGCATCAATCTGATAGTAAGTAATGTTTTGGCACAGGTTATTCAACATAGCTTTTATTTCGACCATATCTGCTCCTTGACCAACCAATCTATCTAACGTCCTTTTAGTAACTCCTCCTATCCCGTCAGGTGCCCCCTTTCCGTGACCAGCTTCTAAATAGTTCCAAGTAAAATTTTTTACTTTTGGGTGCAATTTTGGCAACTCGATTGCTAGGAAATAAAACATGGTTTTATTACGGTATTGAGTCGACGGTGAGTCACTAAGAAAGTGAAGCGTATCAACTGTTGGGTAAGAGTTTGTTATGCACTTTATTATTGGGTCTAAATGGCCGAGATATTATGTAGAAGCGATTCTGATAAAGTGCAAAAGCATTCTTGCTGTACCTCATCTTGTTTGGTATATAAAACAACAGTATATAGAGATATCTGGTTTCTTGATCCTCCGAAGTGGAATGCTTGTATCTCTTCTGCATATTTCATGTTGTAGTTACCACTAAAATCCATGTGAATAACCGCCTCGGTAATTCGAAGATTCTCTTTAAGTTCTTTGAGTTGTTTGTACTGATGTAAGGATCTGCCTTTGTACTTCAGAAATTGTATAATACTTTGTTTAAAATCAGCTATAATATCAGAAACCTGGCATTCAACTTTCTTCTTTGATGTCTTTCTAACCTGCTTTTCCTTTTGTGATGTCTTGTCAACATACGTGCATTTTTCTGCCATCCATTTGAAGTAGTAACTGCGTTCCCTGGGGTTGTATTCACGGAATGATATTTGCATAGAAATACATTTATCGCATCTCTAGAACTGGTCATTCCTCTGTGCCTGTCATCAGTCCTCTGGATCTCAGTAATCCAGAGGAATGGTGCCAGAGGAATGACGACTTCTTCGTTTATTAGTTTTTAGTTTAGGAAATTGAATGAATCCTAACTTACAAATTGGTCCACGGAAAGGAAACTCATTATTTCGTATTTAAATGAGGGAATGGATGCAACAAAAATATAAATAAATTAAATACACTTACCAGAGGAATGGTCAATCTGTGTGTGACATTAACAATTTGGGAACAAAACGTTAAAAAGAAGACGTATTGTTTTAGTTCGACAACATTTGCTTAGTGACACTCTGCAAGAACTAGGTTGTGAAAAGCATATCTGGTTGCGTGCGAAGACATATCGCCATCTACCATCATATTATTTACGTACTTCTTGCGAGCCAGAGGAATGACCGCTAAAGGTGGTAACATAGTTTCTATCATCTTTTGATGGGAGTTTTAAAGTGGAACATGAAAAAGAATTTGTCTGTTGATAAAATCTTGATCCATATGGATTTTTCTAAAAATTACTTCTGTAAATATACTGAAAAAGTACAATCTGCACACTTTGGCTCTTTAAAGCATCAGATATCTTAGATATAACTGCGGCGTGGTAAAGTCTGTCAAGCAACCTTACCACACTTTTCATACCTTAGTTGTATATTAAAAGTATCCACACCAGATTACGATACTTTAGTAAAAGTCTTACAAAACTCAATAAAAGGGATCAAGATCTTTCGTATCGATGAAAAACTAATCCCTATGATCGACGAACTGATCTGAGAAAATATTCCTACGTTTAAAGGTACGATGAAAGTAGCCTGGATCAATAAACTAAGGAATAGACTTACTTTCAGAGAACTGACATGTCTGTGTTGTGAACCCGGCCAGCTTTGCTCACACTATAACTTGGATCTAAGGAGTATAGAACAGCTCTACGTTATAGCGTTGTATATACAGATTCATCATCATTGGATGATGATATGCCATTGAGTTTAGTATGCAATAAGTTGAGATGTTAGGAACAAAACTTGGAATTAAATTATTATCTGTCAACTCCGTTACCTCTAAACTTAACATTATTTTCATTATTTAATTATATTCTCATAGTACAAAACTTTTGTTATACTAATATGTTTTCTTCGATAAATATATAACCTAGAAAACTAATTACACGATTTTTTTTCTTATAAACCTTTTTTCCACCCTTTCTGAGAATGACCCAGTTGGCGTTTCCACTTTTTGACAAAGGTTAAGGAAAAATGCAGCTCACAAAGATTTCGTGCGAGAACAGATTAATTTTACTACTGGAAGAAGAAGGTACTGATGGTTACAATTAGGTATAAAGAAGAGCTGGCGAACGTTATGCTGCATATACTTGGTCACCTCAAGTTGGTTTTGGAGGTGGCTCGATAATGTTTAGCAAACAATGTCATTGGCAAACATCAGGGAGAATGGCTACCGGAAGCTTCGCTGGATGGATTGAGTACCTCAATAACTATCATCGTCGATTCCAAACCCGCAAAAAAATAAGCTCTCCTTAGATAGCCAGCAGATTGTAGCGCCATAAAAGAGATGGGTTGGGTTGGGTAAAAATTTCATTTAAGTTTCTTGTCTCTGATTCTGCTACAGGTTTTCTAAACAATATTCTGAACATCTATGTGTATTATATCAATTACTATAATAAAGAGAATTTTCTTTGATCCCTTTGTATAATAAATTTGTTTATTTTTTTTAAATGTTTCAATAAATAATAATAAAGTATTTTGTGCGAGTTTTTGTATACTTTATAACTCTATTATGAACGCATTTTCGCACATTTACCAACTTCAAAAGCGAAAATATCCAAAACTAAACCCCACTGTTTATAAATACGACCAAACCATTAACGGTTCGTGAATCACAATTTTAACGTCGTGTCAACACTCATGGAAACAATTTTATTAAGTAAAAGAAAGTTCTTAAAACACCAAATTAAATAAATTGTTGACTTCATCTTTCTTACCTTTAAACTTCTTTTTTTTTGTATATTTGTATAAATCCCCGGTAATTTATTAATACCAACCGAGGAGAGCCATAAACTTAAAAATAGAATTTCCCATTGCTATTCGTACACAAAAATTTAATACTATCCGTTTTTCGTGCGTCAATAAGAAGAAAATTTTAACATTAACAAATTTCTAAAAGCCATAAACAATATTATCATAAATCATTTGTTATTTAGAAGTACACTATAAAGAATAGATCGAATTTCAAAGAAATGAGTCAATCGAACTGACTTTTTGGATGCGAGATTCCGATCGCATGTTTGGCAAGATGTGCCAAAATAAATGCCGCGGTTAAGTGTTCTTAAGTAAATATTTAAAGGCGATTTAGTACCGCGTTAAAGTCTGGGCCTAAAAAACTTACCTTGAAGTCGGATAGTGAGGCCATTAGGTCGTCCAATTCTCTAGTTGCCGAAGAAGTGTGTACTCTGGTTACGTCCCTCGATATTAATTCGGTCTCACCTGGAAATCCCGTTTCGGTTTTCGTTTCTTTTACTGTTATTGTTACTTTTTTCGGGCCAGTGTAGATTACTTCTCTGAAAATAAATTGTTATGTCAGAAAAAATAAATATTTAAAAGAATTTATTTACTCATTTAAACTTGGTACAAAATTTTATGATTAAGACGTGTTTAAAGACGCATAGCGCAATCAGAATGTTTCTAGGTGTCATGGTCTTGTTCACTGGATTATGTAGTATTTATCTAACAGAAGTCAGGATTGGTAACTTTGTATCTAGTTACAAACCCATCACATCCGCAGTCACCATGAACCCTTACTACTTGTAATGTACAGGGTGTCCCAATTTCGATGTCCACATAGGCTATCTCCGAAACTAAAAGAGATAGCAAAAAAGTGGCTTACATCTCATGATCTCATTTTTCGAGAAAATGCTAATGCCGAAAACTCCGAACAGCTATCGTCTTTTGTTTTCGCCATATCGGCAAAAACTGAAAATTTTGCAAAAACGACAATCGCGAATCGAATGCACGGCTCACATCGACGAAGTAAAGATTCTATCACACGACGTATGATATTTGGATCATTCCGTATGATATTTGGATCATTCCGTATGCTATTAGCTGCATCTTGAATTCTGTCCAGTAGTTGCTGACGGGTAGTAATTTCTACATGGTACACAAGCTGCTTCATGTGTCCCCAGAAATAATAATCCAGCGGATTTAGATCTGGGGATCGTGGTGGCCAGACTACTGGACCTTCATTGCCAATCCATTTGTTTGGAAAATGTTCATGTAACCAAGCGATGACTTCTCTTCCTCGATGTGGTGGTGCACCATCGTGCTGATACCACATATTTTGAACGATGTTAAGTGGTACGTCGTCGATAATCGAAAAGGTTATGTCCCAAGAAATTTCTGTACATATTTGCATTTAAGCGTTCATTTATCACCCATACAGGTAGCAAAGAATTGTTAAAAACACCACCCCAAACGTTTACACTAAACCGTTGCTGAAATCTTCCTGGTCTAATTGCATGTGGATTTTGCAAGGACCACACATGTTCGTTATGATAATTATTTATACCGTCCCTAGTGAAACACGCTTCATCAGACCACAGAACTTGGTCCCAAGATTCTAATCCCAGTACGTGAGTTATAACATTAAAATTCTTATGGATCATGATTCCTAAGACACTCTACAACATTTTTAGTCCATAACAATTTTTTCCATCATTCCCACATCTCGAATTATAACCTACGCTTTAGATAAAAACGTCAAATTTGAGAATTTGGTGATTTTAATCCCAGTACGTGAGTTATAAGATTAAAATTCTTATGGATCATGATTCCTAAGACACTCTACAACATTTTTAGTCCATAACAATTTTTTCCATCATTCCCACATCTCGAATTATAACCTGTGCTTTAGATAAAAACGTCAAATTTGAGAATTTGGTGATTTTAATCCCAGGACGTGAGTTATAAGATTAAAATTCTTATGGATTATGATTCCTAAGACACTTTACTATATTTTTAGTCCACAACAATTTTCTCCATCATTCCCACTTCTCGAATTATAATCTATGCTTTAGATAAAAACGTCAAATTTGAGAATTTGGTTATTTTAATCCCAGTACGTGAGTTATACTTACCTTGGGAACTTGGGAAATGAAGTTATTATTTTGAGCATGTTGCTGAATTATCCAGTGGCAAAATGCTAAGCGTTGCTCAGTATCTCCAGGATATAATGCTTGAACATTTTGGCGATGAAACGGATGTAACATTTCTCGATTCAATACACGCCATACAAAACTTTGGGATATTAGTAACATGCTCGCTATATGCCGAGTACTAATTGAAGGGTCGTCAAGTACTAAATCAATAACACGTTCTTCATTTTGTACATTCACATCATGGGGACGAACGGAATGTAGTGGACCAGGGTTATCTGTTTCTCTCAGTCTGCGAAATGATGCACTAAATACTGTATGGGCAGGCAGGTTGATGTCTATTTGGAAACCTACGAAGGTATTCTCTTGCTGCTTGCCGAGCGTTTCCGTTACAAAGCCGTTACAATCGAAGATTAGAATTTTGTAGATGATATTTAAAAAAATTAAATAATCTGCTGTTTGTTCAAAATGTTATCTGGACCGATGAAGTCTCTGAGTGTTCAAAGAAGATTGGGGTTCAATGTATGGTGTGCCCTTTTAGACAATAGAATTTTGGCATATAGTATCTACCATAAAAACTTAAACTCAGGGAAATACCTCAATATATTAAGGCAGCACATTGAGCCTCTGGTCGACAATTTGCCACTACATATGTCTCAAATGATATATTTTCAATATGACGGAGCACCAGCACATAATGCCAGAGTTATTAGTGAATTTTTAAATACTACCNAAAGACTAAAATTGCTTTGTGGAGACTAAATACTGCTTTCTGAAGACTAGATACTGCTGACAGGTCTAAGTACTGCAAAAGAAAGATAAGATATTGTTGGAGAAAACATACATAACTTTGGTAGAAGACTAGATACTGCTTCTAGAAGACTAAATACTGCTTTCTGAAGACTAGATACTGCCGACAGCGTCTGGAACACTAAATACTGAAAGGGATGAAATTCTCCATATTTCTCAAGAATAAATAATAAAAATGGAAAAAGTAAAAACTTTTTGTGAGAAATAACATAAGAAAAGTTAATTTCCAAGTAATTTAAGGATTTAATTTAATTTTGTAAAAATTTTTTTAGAAGTATTTTGTTTGTTAGAAAAATAACTAGAATTCAGATCTGTCCCAACATTTTTAAAAATTTTGCCCATCATTTTGTAATTATTTTTAAGTACTGAAAATGAAACATTTGTTTCGAAACATGTCTATTTATTGAAATAAATTAAGTATTTTGTTATTTCTCACAAAAAGTTTTTACTTTTTCCATTTTTATTACTAAATACTGCTTTCTAAAGACTAAAATTACTTTGTGGAGACTAAATACTGCTTTCTGAAGACTAGCTACTGCTGACAGGTCTAAATACTGCAAAAGAAAGATAAGATATTGTTGGAGAAAACATTAAAAAGCCCCTTTTGGTAGCGCCGCCTCTGATGTTCTGTAACTACTGACTTCTTCTGTTTTTTCTAATCTGATATCCCTATCGTGTTACTTCTTGCTTATTTAATAGTGACGAGATTTGACGTAATCATTAAAAAAGTTACATTAACACAAACATTAAAAAAGTCTGCCAAAATCCGTTAATATCAAAGAAATTAAAGCTAAATTTAAATGAAAATTCGACATAAAATTTAATTTAATTTGCCGCCTGACTGAGTAATCATCCCAAAAAACATTAATCTAATTAAAGTCAAAATGCCATTAGAAAAACACGTGGGAACAGTAAATGCAACGTTGTGAAAAGGAGGAAGGGGGGCCGCTTAAAGTCCACCTGTTTATTCCCAGTTTTTGAGCCAAAACTATCCAACGACGCTCTCTATTATCGCCTCAAGATCAAGACCCCTCTATTTTTTTGAAAATGAATGAAACGGAAAAGACAGAGACGACTCGAACAAAATCAAAAAGAGAGCGAACTGTTTACGGCCGGAGAGGATGGTGCCGTGTGGAAAATCCGTGGCGTCCCGACGCCCGTCGTCGTCGTTCGTGTTCTGCATTGCGTTCGCACCATAAAGGGATCCCCAGCCCGACGCCTGACTAATATTACTAAATCAATCCATGGCGACCGCTATTTTAAACACAACTTTTAATAAAATTAAATCAAACAACATTAAACAAATCTCTTATTTATAAAAGACTTTTGGGTCAAAACGAAACTGACACTTGTTGGATTCCGGGCGACCACTTGTTGGATTTTAATCAACAGGTGGCTAAGTTTCGGAACGATTCTGAATAACTAGCGGCGTTTAAAAATTTACCAAAAAATTCATGAAAATAGAACTTAAAATTTAAGAGAGAAAATTCTTCATAATAAAGATGTAGATTAAACGTTAGAAAACAGCTACATTTCGAATTTCCAACTTAAACACACATTTACTAAACAGAATCATAAAATTTCATTTTCCTGTATAAATACAAATCATAAACGCTTTCTCAAAATTTTATATTTAAACGTTTCGCAACTACAGACAAAGATGGAAGACCGTGGCCCGGCCCAAAAAAAAAAAACAATTCTATATCATCCAAAACCATTTGCCATCGGAGACAGAAAACTTGCAAAGTTTAAAATGCATAATAAATGTTGGTTTTAAACTTGTGGGCGTTGTACTTTTTAATCGCGCGGCGACATCTCACGAAAATTCCTTGAAACGAAAACTTTTAATGAAATCTAAGAGATGTCGCTTTAATGAAAAAAAAAAAAATGGGAAACGGAACGAGGCCGAGTTGCGATTATTTGATCTAATTCCTTGATAATAAATATAGAATCGTGTTTCAAAACAATAATGTCTAAATTTATAATTTTAATGTATCGCTAAATTTATGCTTTTAAAGTGGGAAGAAATGACTTACCGATCTAGATGTGTAAGATTCCGACCTTGAAATCGGTATTTCACGTGCAGGAGAATGTCTTGTGCCCTTATTTAGGGATCCGTAACCGGGAGTACTTCCACTTGTGTTACCAACACCTACGTTTCCAGCTCCACCTGCGTTTACTGTACTTTGTAAATCTGCCAAAAGAGCATCTGAAAATAAAAAAATTTCTTTATAAATATAAATTTTTTAAAAACAACTTTAACAGAGAGGGTGAATATATATTTTCTAACATTTAGCTTTAGCAGTGCGTCTCAACCCGAATGTTTCTAGTGTTAGAGCTAAGTTTTATTTGTTATTCAGATTGTTGTATATCTTTATTGAACTAAAAGATACTTATACAAATATTAATTCTAGCTATTAAAACTAACACTAGATCTAGCACTAGAAATATTCGGGATATGAGAACTTACTACATGCCTTCCCACTTATCAAAAATATCCAGAAACAATGAAAGTATGACCTTTTTGCTTAATTTTTATGAAAACATGGATATTAACCAGAAATTCAGAACTGAATTAATCTACCTTACGGTAGGAAAAAAATTATAAACATCATGTACCACCCACCATCGTTAGCACAAAACAACTCTACCAACAAAGCTCAGCACAGAAAACACCTAAAAATGCAATAAGCCATGAAGACGACGTAGACATAAATACAGGGTGATTCACATAAGAACCGACACAGAGCAGGGACATGTAGAGGACAATAAATTAAGATAATTTAACGCAACTTATCTCTATACTAAGTTGTACCCCTGAGGAGTTATAGACCTTCAAAGTTGGGTCTTAAATTTTTTAGGAATAAATTGTTTAATATGAACTAAAAAGATATTATTGATAAACAGATTTTGTTTAGATGTAATGATTTTCTAGTGATAAAGAGAAAATCCCCAAAATGTCAAAATTGAATACTTTTGTTATCAAAATCGATCATTACTCAAAAATTAATTGTAATGGAGATAAGTTTTTTTTGAAATAAATAGTTTATTATGAACTAAAAAGACATCATCCATAAACAGATTTGGTTTAGTTATAATGATTTTCTAGTGATAAAGAAAAAATCACCAAAATGTCAAAATTGAGTACTTTTGGTATTGAAATAGATCATAACTCAAAAATTAAAGGTGATGGAGAAAAGTTTATTTGAAATAAATTGTTTATTATGAACTAAAAGGATATTACTCATAAACAGATTTGGTTTAGTTATAATGGATTTCTAGTGATAAAGAAAAAATCACTAAAATGTCAAAATTGAGTACTTTTGGTATTGAAATAGATTATAACTCAAAAATTAAAGGTGATGGAGAAAAGTCTATTTGAAATAAATTGTTTATTATGAACTAAAAGGACATTACTCATAAACAGATTTGGTTTAGTTATAATGATTTTCTAATNTTAATGTCTATCATATAACCTCTAAAAACATAGACAGTTATCTACCAGGCGTGGCAAATAATGTGACGTAGAGTGCGGGCAACCAACCCGTAGTCGACTACACTGGATGTAGCAGTCCTGTTAGATTCTACTGTCCTTGCTACAAACTTTGCCAATAATTGGAAACAATGCTTTCCCTCATAGTATGGTTATCACCATAACAACATTAAGTTTTAAATACATACAATAGTTTTAGAAAGAACAAAAAAAAATGATACATTGTATTCCATCATAGTATGTATGGTTATCACTAGGGCACGAAACTTTTGTAACAAAACGATACGATTTCCCCCCTCCACTTGTTCTCATTGGCTAGTTTTCTGGGTTTGTTTTCTGGGAAGCCACTGAGAACAAGTGGAGGGGGGAAATTGTATCCTTTTGTTACAAAAGTTGCGTGCCTTAGATTTAGATGGAACAAAATGCATTTTCTCGAAAAACGAGATCATGACATGTAAGCTACTTTTTATCTATCTCTTTTAGTTTCGGAGATGGCCTATGCGGACATCGAAATTGGGACACCCTGTACATAAACGATATTTCTTCTTATTTTAAATTTTCTAAGTTTTTACTCTATACCGACGATAATAAACTATTCACAAGGATCGGGTCTAATCTGGACTATTTTAGACTACAGGAGGATTTAGGAGAACGAATGATATATCAGTTGCTGGCTCTCAATTTCTCGTGCTAAGTCATCTGTCGGTTCATTGCCCAACAAAACCCAAGAGTGACCTGGGACCAGTTCTAGTGATAGTATTAGTATTAATAAAATTCCAGCTATTGGAACTCACACAGTTAGCATAACATATCACTATGTTGCATATTTTTATTGCACTAAAACTTCTAGCTTTGCACTAACACTATCACTAGAACTAACACTAAACCCAGAATGTTTCTAGGTCTAGTGTTATTTTTAACTCATCTTAATAGCCAATCTATACATTAATTGATCCTCATAATACCAATCGTCGGGGAGACCTTAACTTCTCAGGCTTTGAATTGATTTAGAACAACTTGTTTTGATGGTTCAATTGGGAAAGAGAAGGTCAATACCGGATTAATAAATCCCACATAAATTTGAAATGTTTATAACTTTGCGGTCTTCAAATCTCAAATGTTTATTTATACATACAATAAACATTCGATAACTAATTTATTTGACGTTTATTTTTGCCCATAATGGGTGAATTTGGATAGAAAATACGGCTGCAATTTCTCTTTCAACTCGCTTTAAATAACATGTATAGTTAAATGACATTCTTATTTAAATATAAACAAATTCAAAAATAGTAGTATAATAAATCATACCCACATATAAACCTGTATTAATGCTACTATGTTTGAAATACAGGTATAACACTAGCCAATACAGTAATATTAAGTGAGCGACAGCGGTTAATGCATGTAGTTGGTGTTTGCCAAAAAGAACGTAGCATGAAACTGATAACCGACTTATTGTTGCCAAATGCGTCGAACTTTCAAATTGACACGTCGCGTTCACGCTCAAAAATACCAAAGTTTTTATTTAATTTTATATTCTTGTTTCGATCGAGATTATGTTTTTGATCGAAATGAAATTAGTTCAAGTTCATTGGTACAACAGCTTTTATCGTTCCTAATGGACGTCCAGAATACGGCATATTTACATTAAAGTTAAAAGGATCCCGAATATAGAACAGGGTCAAAATAATATAATTTTAAATGCGTTAAATCATGTTACATTAAAAGATCAACTCACCCGGCGTTTAACTGATCGAGTAAACTATCAACAGGTGGTCGACCCAATGTGTTTTGGGCACTCGAAGGTCTCGAAGAATAATTCGCTGGACTTCGTCCTCCTGATCCGCTATAAGTCCCATTATAACTTCCGTTAGCACCATTTTCTAAACATAATTAATAAATAAAATAAATTTGATTGTAAATTTGTGTTTAATCACCTATGCCTACGTTGGCGTATCTATTCTGGTGCAACTCCGGCGAGTTACTGAGATCTTGAAGGAGTGTATCCAGTTCGGATAGGTTGTTATTAAAAGGTCTTCTTTCAGCAGTTCCATACCCGCTACTTGGTTGAGTCGGTTGACCATAACCAGGACTACGAGTTTCAGAACTTTTACCAAAAGTACCCTGCAAAATTAAAAATATTTTTTTAAAACAAAAAGTATGACATTAATCTTTCACCAAGAACTATCGTGTAATGTTAATCTGAAAATGTTAAGATGACATCGGTCGTTACAGACATAATATAAAGTCTCCTTGACGACTTGGCATCGCATAAACCATTTCCCGGTAAGAATTATTGTCGATTTTAATAATTGGGTTAGTCGAGCATGGTCCTGTACAAATTTATCTCATTAATTACCAGTTGAAAGTTATATTGTGCGAACGTTTCAACTCAAGTGAATAACCTCATCTATAAATGTGTTAAAAATATTAAATTCGTTTGGAAATCTAGATTCAATTTTTAAGTACATATACATGTATACATGTTTTCTTAAGATTGCAACAATCGCAATTATTGGAGGACCTGGAGACATAATCACGGATCTTACACCAGACGTCCTTAACCATGTATAGGGTAGCAAACAGAGACCACATCGAATTTCTTAGGGATTCTTAGAAATTAGGTATGAAATTACTGACTGGTTAAAAGTGACTTTATGGACACGCTGTATTTTATGGTATCATTCCGTAAAAAATATATATAATCAAAGAAATATAAATAAACTTAAAAAAGACTGGAATAATCATAATCCATAGTTCAGGAAAAATTTTAAAATTATACTGGTGAAAAACCAAACTTAAGGGAATAGTCGGGAATACTCTGGTCAGAAGGTTAATTTGCAAGAAAAAGTCTGAAATTGCAATAGTCATAAACTAGATTTCAGCAAAAAACAGGAATTACATTGTTCAAAGTCCACGTGAAGTCTGAAATTACTGTTCAGATAAAACAAAAAATTGATTATAAACCAAACATGATTTTTGGCAATACTTATGTGTTCAATAAAAGAATGCGAAGAATGTGAACAAGAAACCAATGGACTTGTCTTGTTATTGCACAGGACAGGAAATCACCAATACGGAAACTTTGCCAATGCAGGATAAGCACAAAAGCAAAGTAACAGATGCAGAAATGAGGTACCGGGTGGTACAAGATCTGTATAGGTAATAAGAGGCTCCAAAAAGATGATGGTCTATCCCCCCAGAAAGAAGTAGCTTCAGTATCAAGAACAAAACATACATAACATTGGCAGAAGACTAGATACTGCTTCTAAAAAACTAAATACTGGTTTCTAAAAACTAAAATTGCTTTGTGGAGACTAAATACTGCTTTCTGAAGACTAGATACTGCTGACAGGTCTAAGTACTGCAAAAGAAAGATAAGATATTGTTGGAGAAAACATACATAACTTTGGCAGAAGACTAGATACTGCTTCTAAAAAACTAAATACTGCTTTCTGAAGACTAGATACTGCTTCTAAAAAACTAAATACTGCTTTCTGAAGACTAGATACTGCTCTGGAAGATTAAATACTGCTTTCTGAAGACTAGATATTGCCGACAGGTCTAAATACAGCGTCTGGAACACTAAATACTGGTTTCTAAAAACTAAAATTGCTTTGTGGAGACTAAATACTGCTTTCTGAAAACTAGATACTGCTGACAGGTCTAAGTACTGCAAAAGAAAAATAAGATATTGTTGGAGAAAACATACATAACCTTGGTAGAAGACTAGATACTGCTTCTAAAAAACTAAATACTGCTTTCTGAAGACTAGATACTGCTCTGGAAGATTAAANAAGACATCATCCATAAACAAATTTAGTTTAGATGTAATGATTTTCATGTGATAAAGAGAAAATCCCCAAAATGTCAAAATTGGGTACTTTTGGTGTTAAAATCGATCATAACTCAAGAATGAAAGGTGATGGAGAAAACCTTGTCGTCAAATAACTTTGTAATCTGTTTGTCAAATTTGACGTACAATTTCATAGCCGACTACTAAACTTAAGACTTAATTTATTGTCCTCTACATGTCCCTGCTCCGTGTCGGTTCTAATGTGAATCACCCTGTATAATGAAAGTGGCTGAAGATGCAATAAGAACGAAACAGATTTCCAAAAATGGAAGAATCCATATCAATATTAAAATATATAGGGTAAATGCAAACATTTAAATAATTAAATGGTGCTACTGGGAGGCATTCTCCAGTGATATAGAGTAAAATCTTTATGGTAGATAGAGAGAGATATGGGAAAAACTAGTTAACGAGTACATACAAGTACAAGCAACCACAATATCAGTAAAAGAATGTGAAAAACACTTCTGACAACTATATCAAAAGCTAGAAGTCATAGACGAAGAAAACTAAACTAAATGGTCTTTTATGAAGAAAGAAATATACTATTTGATCAATTCCACATTCTCTACAAGATACTTACCTGCAAGCAAATTCCACAAGAGTGGATACAAAGTGTGAGGATATTCATATTTAATAGGGGAAATATGCTGACACCAGCAGTTATTGAGGAATAAACTTAGAAAACAGAAAAAATAAGCGAATTCAGAATTCCAGAACTTAATCATTAATATCTTAAATGGACAACATCGCTTACATTAAGGATTATTATTACGATAATAAAAAAATGCGTTTTTTGTAATCACTCAATATTATTACGTGTCGCATATAAATTTAATCAGTGTCGGTTACACAGTTTTCACTCATCGATAACATGTATTTTTCTAGGAAAGTGTAATACGAAAATTTTGTAATATATATATATATATAACCGATGTGTTCATCATAGATTATATTTCAAAAAATTGATTTAGATTTTACCAACATTGCCTATAATTTTGCGGCAAAGTTATAACGAAATTTCTTTCGAACACAAATTTATCAGTAAACATACACAGCCAATGACTCATCTCGAGAAGCGCTAACAAACCAACCTTTTAAGTACACAAACTTAGGAAATAAGATTACCACATAGAATTATAACATATTATATTAAAACGCATTAAATATTATATCAAAATCTAAATTGAATCGATCATAAAATTTTAAAAGCTAAAAATTTCAAAAATAAATATTTCTCACCTAAACCACGTCGTTCTTCCTCATACCCATCATAATTAACCGGTTTTCGTAAATCGTTCATTATCAAAACTTTTAAAAAATGAAAACGTTTCGCGGATTAACAAACAAAAAAACACGTTGTTTTTAGGATTTATAAGAACAAACGCGATCGAAGAGGAAACCACAACTAAAATGAAAAAACGTCGCTTTTTAAGGAACGAGAACGCGCGAGGTTTTCACGGTAGTGATAAAAGTTGTGGTATGCGTATGAGTCGACGACTCGAGGAAGGTCTGTTTCTTATCGATGAATCAATTTTGTTGACACGATGTCGAAGAATGACAAAAGTGGTTGTAAATACGGGGCCGTTATTGGAAGTGGAAGTTGTGAACTAGGCCTAGACACGCATAACAATGGCCGAAGGCCCCCTAACTCTATAAATAGACTATGGATGTTGAGTTTTAAGTAAGAGTAATAAACATTTTTGGATCGCATTCCGATGACGAAGCGCTCCATTAAATTTAAATTCTTTTTATTTTATTGTATCACATTGTTTTAAAATAGTGTGAATTAAGGTGGGTAATCCCAATTTGTTGAATTTCTAGAATTGAGTTTTTTATAAATAAGTTATGATTTGTGTTTTTTATCTAAAGTAAATATTCCGGGATTTTCTGTGTAATAAAAAATGATGATTAAACTAAAATTAGAACTAACACTAGCACCATCTTAACAGTGTTAATTGAATAAACTACAAATTCGCCCGATATGTATTTCAGAGAAGCTGCAATAAATATTACGATGTACAGTGATACAATAAAGTCTACATACACCCAAGAAAACGATAATATCTCATCTCCTGAACTGTAATTCAATTTTTTAAACGAAGGATATTAGAAGTCTATATTATTTTAATACAAAGTCGAAACAGTTCGACTTGTGCTACGAAGTGAAGGCTACAGCAGTAGATTTAGTCGCATTTAGTCTCTCAAGACGGCTAAACCCGAATTATTCTAGTTCTACGTTTTGTGTTAGTTAACACTAGTCCTAGAACTAGCTAAAGTTAGTTCAATAAAAATATACAACATTTAACTAGCGCTACTTAGCACGGTCTCTAGAACTAACATTAGACCTAGAACTGTGTTAGCTCTAGTGATAGTGCTAGTGCAAAACTAGTTGAACTTGGACTTGTTATAAACTAGTCCCTATTCATTTAGACAAGTTTTTAATGACTATCAACTAATCTTTAGTCATTTTGAGCAACATGGATTGTCTAAAACTAGTTGTTAATCATTTAGACAAGTATGCTATGAACCTATTTCGAAACATTTTGAACAATTTTGATACCTTATAGACCAATTTTAGACAATATTAGTGCAGTTTTCAGTCGTTGTGAGCAATGTGGACTTGCTATAAACTAGTCGTTATACATTTAGACAAGTTTTTAATGACTATCAACTAATCTTTAGTCATTTTAGCAACATGGATTGTCTAAAACTAGTTGTTAATCATTTAGACAAGTATAAAATTATGCTCAACCTATAATCAATAATTTTGAATAACATGAGACGGCTATGAACCTATTTCGAAACATTTTGAACAATTTTGATACCTTATAGACCAATTTTGGACAATATTAGTGCAGTTTTCAGTCGTTGTGAGCAATCTGGACTTGCTATAAACTAGTCGTTATACATTTAGACAAGTTTTTAATGACTATCAACTAATCTTTAGTCATTTTGAGCAACATGGATTGTCTAAAACTAGTTGTTAATCATTTAGACAAATATAAAATTATGCTCAACCAGTTTTCAATGATTTGGAATAACATATCAACTTATTTCCAATCATTTTGAACAATTTTGCTACCTTATAAACCAATTTTAGACAATGTTGGTGCAGTTTTCAGTCATTCTGAGCAACCTAAACTTGCTATAAACTAGTCCTTATACATTTAGACAAGTTTTTAATGACTATCAACTGGATAAATAGAAAAAATTTTGGACAATGTTGGTGCAGTTTTCAGTCGTTAGTTCTAGTTTTACACTAGCACTGTTACTATGTAGAATTAACACTATACATAGAACTAAAAATCTTCAAGGTTAATGTTTTTTATTCGATCTTGTTTATTTTTTGATATAAATGCATCATGTCATTCAAAATGAGCCCAAACATGATACGTTTAATTCCAATATTACTCGAGATATAAGCAACTTCCGGTATATTTATTGAGCTATAACGGATAGTTTTTTTTAGGACTGTATGTAGACTTTTTTGAGTTATAGATATGATTATGTTTTGTGTTTCTCTTGATATAATAGCTTATATAGTTTTTATGTAAAATATGGAAATAATATGGACTGTAGACTTTATTGTATCACTGTATGTACCAAGCTTTTGGTCGTACTTCTCCTTTTGCTTAACTGACCGGCCAAAATAGATTTGCCAAGCTGTACATGCTATATGAAGTTATGGCGAACTGGATGGACCTAAGTAATCAATTTTGTTGAATTTGTCAAAAAAGATGTCAAAACCAAACAAAATATGTACCTAAACAGATACAGATTGAAAACCTTGAATTTTAAATGTTTTTCCTTATTCGAATGTGGTTTGTATAATATTTCATATACGTAAAGTACGTAATTCTATCGCCTTGTTGAATTACAAGTAAACTTGAATTTTACTTGAACTTTATTTCTAACAAAGCATTCGTCTATTTACATAAAATGTTTTGAAACAATTTAGAAATCAATTTTCAATTTTTTAGCTTCTCAAGTTAGTAGGACCCAACTTACTCAAGTATTGCTCCCATTCCTTTAAATCTCTAAAATGCATTTTTCTCTCGAACCGATAGTTTTTGGTGAAAGATGTGGGTGGTGATGGGTCGAACGTGACCGTCTTGGGACTGGGCGTACGCATGCGCATCGTGCCAGACATCTTTTGGTTCCCCGGAAACAACCACACAATTCAGGCGACAGTTTTACAGGCGAACACAACAACGCACGATTGGCTTCTGGAAAACCACGCAAATCGTACCGGATATATTTTTGGGGCACTCCCGAAATTAACGATAGGCCAATTTTCCCGTGCAATTGACTGTGTTTTTCTGCTATGGGGATCTTGTAGGATCCACGCCGTATGACTAACGTTTTTCGGTTGAACCGGGACTCGAGAACAGTTTTTGGCAAAACGCGTGTAGGAGCCAAACTGTGTGCGACTTCAACTAAAAATAGGAACACTTGCGGAATCGCTAAGCCTCGAATATACGAATTTGAAACCGTAAACTGTTTTTCGTTCCTTAGATACATTATTAGATATATTAGAATACTTGCTAACTATATTCATAACACCCAAATTGTAGTACATATTTCCGGAAGAAACTGTAGTTCCTTAACAAATACAAAATGTGTTATGTGGGTGGAATTTTTGTTTATCAATGCCAAATAAAAAAACGTACACACAAAATCCAGCGTAAACTCGGTGATAAAGATTTAAAGATACTTATATACTGGTACGATTTGCCAAGATCCAAAAACCAAAAATAAATAATCCAAGATTTACTTACGAAAATAGAATAACAAATACAAAATGTATAGACAACAAGTAAAAAAGAAACTCTTGTGACGACCGTCTAACTTAACTAACACCCAAACGCAACCGACAGGTTGATTTTCTTCAATGGTCGTCGAAGGCCGACACCCACAGTTTAAGTATCTCAAAAGCGAGATGTTATCATTAATTGTACTCGTTATTTAAGATTTCTTACAATTTATCGAGGAAAAAATGTTCTCTTACGCGAACTCATAGCTTAGAGCTATTGTTGTTCGTTTACAATTGTAATTTTATTACGGCGTGCGCCAATGGGAAGGTCAAAATGACTTCCGAACAACGTAGTTTTTAAATTACATAATTGAACCGTGCCCACGTTTTCTATTTTGATCAATACGTCCAATGACTTTTCAAATAGCACAATAAGGAAAGAATTTACTCCCTGGTATTTAATGAAATCTAAAAATATAGTTCAATATACGTGGGAATAAAAGATACAGACAAAGGAGCTAGGGATATCTACAATTTTAACCATGAAACGAGTTTGAGTAGAATTAATTTTCCAAATGAAGAATCTTTCAATGATTTGAATCATAGGTCTATTAATTAGAACTAATACTTGCATTATCATCAAAACTAACACTAGACGTATATAGAACTAGAAAGTTTTGGATCTAGCGCTATCTCCCACTGTCACTAGAACTAACATTAGACCTTGAAGTAGAAACATTCAGATATAGCAATCTTAAGAGACGCACGGCTAAACAGAATGTTTCTACTTCTAGGTCTAATATTAGTTCTAGTCCTAGTGTTAGTCTAGTTTTATTTGTTATTCAGCGCTAGATTGTTATATACAGTGATACAATAAAGTCTACATATGGGAAGGGGCAAATGGGAGGGTTGGTGGTGGGAGGTAGAAAGGTGCATATGTTAGCATACGCGGATGACATCGTGGTCATGGCGAGAGAAGCGGCGGAGATGAAAGATATGATAAAGACATTGGAAAGATATTTTAGGGGGAAGGGGCTGGAAGTGAATGTGGGGAAGACAAGGATGATGAAGTTTTGTAAGGGTGGGAGAAAAAGAACAGAAAACTGGAGATGGGAGGGAAAAGAGATCGAGGAGGTTAGGGAGTATACTTACTTGGGGTATGTGTTCAGGGAGGACAACAGGGAGGGGTCGCATGTGATAGCTATGGCAAAAAAGGCGAATAAGGTGATGGGACAAGTATGGGGTTGGGGGAAGAGAGTCTTTGGAAGGAATGTGGCAGCGAGGAAGATTATGTTTGAAGGTCTGGTTAGCAGTGTGATGATGTATGGAGCAGAGGTATGGGGATGGAGAGAGCAGGCAATGCTGGAGGACGTGCAAGCTAGATACTGGAGATGGGTGCTTGGGGTGGCGAGAGAAACACCGGGGTATATAGTGAGGGAAGAGGTAAAGGTGGATAAGGTCAGAGTGGAGGCGGGCAGGAGAGCAGTGAAATATGAAGAAAGAATAGAAGGGAGGCCAAACTGCGGGATCTTGGGGGAGTGTTGGAGGGAAATTAGAGAGGGAAAGATCAGATATGGGAAAGGAGACAGAGACAACTATTATAGACGAGCGGGCTACTCGGTAACTGAGATAAATAGTAGACGAAGGGTGGGTAGGGAGATGTGGAGGGAGTTGAGAGATAGGGACCGAGATGTGCAGAGACAGGAAAGAAGGACACAAATAAAAGAGGGGAGGTATAACGAAAGGTACAGGGACATAATTACGGAGGGGCTGCCTAGATACTTGTTATTGGAAGGAGATGAGGAAGGGAAGAAGTTGGTGGCTAGGTTCCGTTGTGGAAACGAGGAGAGAGCGAACAGATACTGGATGGCCGATGAGGAGAGGTGGTGTAGGCTATGCAGGGAGGAATGGGAAACGTTGGAACATATGTTGAATGGGTGCAGTGAGTTGAGGGAGGAGGAGTTGGACCGAGGGCAGATCTTAGGAGAGGGGGGAGAGGGGAAACGATGGATGAGAATGGTTGTGGGGGTAAGGAGACAAAGGGAAGGATGAGGGGATGATTGGGCCGAGGAGCCGAGGGTATGGAAATGGAGGAAGAGGGTAGAGGGTGAAAATAATATACTAATAATATATATATTAGAAGGTATTAAGGGGATAAAAATTGTAAATAAATAAAATAAAGTCTACATACAGCCCGGAAAATGATAATATCTGAGCTCCCGAAATGTAATTCAATGAAATTTTTTAACAAAACATGTAAGTCCATATTATTTCCATATTTTACATAAAAACAATATAAGCTATTATTAATCAAGAGAAACACAAAACATAATCATATCTATAACTCAAAAAAGTCTACATACAGTCCTAAAAAAACTATCCGTTATAGCTCAATAAAAATACCGGAAGTTGCTTATATCTCGAGTAATATTGGAATTAAACGTATCATGTTTGGGCTCATTTTGAATGACATGATGCATTTATGTCAAAAAATAAACAAGATGGAATAAAAAACATTAACCTTGAATATTTTTAGTTCTATGTATAGTGTTAATTCTACATAGTAACAGTACTAGTGTAAAACTAGAACTAATACATTATCTAGAACTAGAATCATTCGGGTTTAGCCGTCTTTAGAGACTTGCGGCTAAACCCAAATGATTCTACTTCTAGGTATAGTGTTAGTTCTATATAGTAACAGTGCTAGTGTAAAACTAGAACTAACGACTGAAAACTGCACCAACATTGTCCAAAATTGTTTCTATTTATCTAGTTGATAGTCATTAAAAACTTGTCTAAATGTATAAGGACTAGTTTATAGCAAGTTTAGGTTGCTCAGAATGACTGAAAACTGCCCCAACATTGTCTAAAATTGGTTTATAAGGTAGCAAAATTGTTCAAAATGATTGGAAATAAGTTGATAGGCATCTCATGTTATTCCAAATCATTGAAAACTGGTTGAGCATAATTTTATATTTGTCTAAATGATTAACAACTAGTTTTTAAACAATCCATGTTGCTCAAAATGACTGAAAACTAGTTGATAGCCATTAAAAGCTTGTCTAAATGTATAACGTCTAGTTTATAGCAAGTCCAGATTGCTCACAACGACTGAAAACTGCACTAATATTGTCCAAAATTGGTCTATAAGGTATCAAAATTGTTCAAAATGTTTCGAAATAGGTTCATAGCCATCTCATGTTATTCAAAATAATTGATTATAGGTTGAGCATAATTTTATACTTGTCTAAATGATTAACAACTAGTTTTAGACAATCCATGTTGCTCAAAATGACTAAAGATTAGTTGATAGTCATTAAAAACTTGTCTAAATGAATAGGGACTAGTTTATAGCAAGTCCAAGTTCAACTAGTTTTGCACTAGCACTATCATTAGAGCTAACACAGTTCTAGGTCTAATGTTAGTTCTAGAGACAGTGCTAAGTAGCGCTAGTTAAATGTTGTATATTTTTATTGAACTAACTTTAGCTAGTTCTAGGACTAGTGTTAGTTCCAGTTTTACACTAGCACTATCACTAGAACTAACACAAGACCTAGAACTAGAATTATTCGGGTTTAACCGTCTTGAGAGAGGTGTGACTAAGCCCGATTGTTTCTAGTTCTAGATCTAGTGTTAGTTCTAGTTTTGCACTATCATTAGAACTAACACAAGACCTAGAACTAGAATAGACAAAGTAAGTAAGTAAACTAAAGTTAAGTGTATAATCGATTCGTATTAAATAAAACAATACTATTTTTTGGACAAACCATTTATTTAAACACAAAAAAATATTATTGAACTTTTTTATTGATCTTCACAATCCTCTAAATATTTCAATACAGGTTGATCACACTGAAACTTTTCATTTAAAATCTTCAAAATTCGCTCCTGTATAAATTCAACGTCTTCTTCCGGGGTATAATCATCGATGCTTGATCTCGACATAGTTATTAGCGTAGGTGGGAAAGATAAAAGATTTAAAAATTTTTCAAAAGCCCCAATCATTGTTTCAAGGTCGTCTTTGTCGGATACATGATGCGGTAAATCAGTGTCATCACAAGTACAACCAGCGTCGTGAACGATATCAAAATCAACTTTGTCGTTACCGAATGTTTCTTTTAATTCTTCGCTGAGTTTCTGTACTTTTAAATAAATATCGGAGGGATTATTAGTTTCGGGTAGTTCGTTGGTTTTTTGTAACGATTGGAAATAATTTTCTAACTCTTTTAGTTGGGTTTCTCTTCTTTTTGTGGCTTCTACAATTTTAGCGGGAGTTTTAATTTCAGGCCAAACAAATTTATATATTTCTTTTAATTTCTCATACATATCAACTTCTTTGTATAAGGCTTTAAACGGATTACTAGTACTAAAAAAATCTAAATCAATATCTAAAATATAATTAGTTTTTAAAGTATTTTGTAATATTTTTGAGATATCACCAAAATCGTCGATTTCTTTTCCCAACGTAATCACGTCTAAATTAACATTTTTAGCGTCTAATAAGTCTTCTTCGGGGGCGTATAAACAATCTGTTAAAAAATAATTTTCCATCGAATCGACTTTAAGCAATCCCGAATTTTTGTCGGCGCCAATTTTAAAACATTTTTTTCCCTCGCTCATTTGTAAAGCCCAAGGTGGTTTTATCCAAATCAAATCTTTAAAATGACCGCCATAAACGGCGGGCATAATCCAATTTTCAATACTTAATTCCTCGAATAAAAGCTCCTTATTAAAAACAACGTCAGCTTTCATTGTTCTTGATATTAACATATCGGGATGTGAATCAAAGTGTACCAACGTCGAATTTTCTAAAGGAAAATGTTTCGAACCGATTGCACGGTAAATAAATGGTAAAACATCGTTGTGATACTCGACGATGTATATTGGAATCTTTGGATATTTCTTCAATTTTTCCATCGTACCTGTTGAGGAAAATTTCTTTGTTCAAACACAAATTTGAAAACAACACAACAAAAACAAACACTTTTTTTTGTTATTTATAAAGTATAAGTAACAACATTGAATTGGTATCTTTGAGAAAGGTGACATATTCTAATTTAATCGTTCGATCTATCACGAACCACATTTACATTTTACTTAACGAAAATGGAAGTTAAAACAACGTGCAGATAAATTGCAACACGTGTGTTTATTTTTAAAAAATGATGACTAAAACTGTTGCGTCAGGATTAATATTAAATTTATTACGACAAAATTTTTTTTAATTCGAAACATTTCGTGGGGCTACCACAAAAATGAAAAAAAATGTTAAAATTAGAAATCGTTTAGTTGGGGAGGTTTATTTCTAATTTTACCTTACTCGACCCAATCTTATTTTAAGGCTTTCAGTTAAACAGAAACATCGTTAACGTATAACGTAGAGGGATTCATGAGTTATAGGTGAAAAAAAAACCATAAATATCGAGCTTAGATGATTCCCAGAAGAAAAACATTTCCAACATCAACCCTTAGAAAGTTCAAATACATTACGATTAAAGTTTACAGAAATTCATTTAAATATCGCTGATTAACTTCATTTCCCATCGAGTTTTTTGCGATAGATGGGATCAAACTGCAATAGGTGTCTTTGCAAAGAAAACCCCTGACTGGAAGAGATCAACTCAGTTCCTGGGAAAATCAAAAAGTTGAGGCTCCTCACCCACTTCCTGACCGGATACTACTGGTTACGTAAGCATATGTTCTATATGAAACTGGCGAACACACCTCTTTGTAGAGGGTGTGAAATGGAAGACGAGATGGTAAGTCGTATTGTTTGTGACTGTCTCAACCTCGCGTACTTAAGGAAATTAATCTTTAGCGTAACATGGCTCCAAATTTCGGACATATCTTCCTTATAATTAGGGATAGCGAAAAACTAAATGCACCACTTGAAAGCTTGAATCTTTCTCTATCTAAAACCGTATCTAAATTCGTCTGCCGATAAGTTGATATTAAGATCAATAAAAAATGAAGAACACCGCGCTGTACTTAAAATAGCTCAAAATTACCAAACTTCAAGGACTTGTGCAATTGTTACGAAACCGAATTTTAAGAAACTGTTATCACAGTCAGAAAGGGCGCTCCTTCAGCTATCTTAATCCGGGTTTTCGTCGGTCAATATCTATCGGCGTCATGCTTAAATCACCCTTAATGTCCATCCCTACACTCAGAAACGCTTAAATACTCTTCCTCTAAACAACTTTCTTATTTGATAGGGAGAAAACTATAGAAACATATCTATCTTATTGAAAATTTCCTGCTCTTTCTAGTGGTGTATAACACGTGGCGATCACGCGCTTGCACACGTACATTTTTGTCTAAACTGCTAAATTCACACATTTTAGCCATTCTTAAACCTTGTTCGGGTCGATAACTTTCTTATATGAGCAGGAGAAAACTCTAGAACCTTATCTATCTTATCGGAAATTTCCTGCTCTTTCTAGTGGTGTATAACACGCGACGATCACGCGCTTGCACACGTACATTTTTGGCCAAAAACTGCTAAATTCACACGTTTTAGCCATTCTTAAACCCTGTTCGGGTCGATAACTTTCTTATATGAGCAGGAGAAAAATCTAGAACCATATCTATCTTATCGGAAATTTCCTGCTCTTTCTAGTGG